GTCATAAAATAACAAAAAGGAAAATATGTATGGAAATTAAGTAATTTATGAATGAAATATACTAAAATGATCTATAAAAAGATGTAAATAAAATGAAACTATTAGATATTCATCTATTATTTCTGTTAATAGAAAAAACTTAGATCTAAATAAGTTGCATGTGAACTTAAGGGTTAGGTTATTTTTTTCCTCGTGTGTTGACTGATAACCTATAAAACCTATCAACTTTCAATGTGTGAAGACATATATCCTTATAGGTTGCATGTACTTTTGATTCTTAAGTGTTTTTCCGAAAGTACATAAATTTTATAACCTATAAATTCCATCATGCATGACTCTTATTCTCTCATCATGATTTTCATAATTCCTAACTGAATGAAAGCATCATCGATCACCCATACAAACACCCATAAACATCACCCAACTCAAACCATCAAGACCACTTTAGATACTCCTCATCGTATGATATATCGTATATGATATAATCACATCAAGGAAGCTATCATATTTTCATCAGTCTTCATGAAAAAACAACTCCAACACCGTTGATGTTTCAAGAAGTTGTAGCCCTTGATGGTACAAACCACTTGTTAGAAAGCCATCTCTAATTATCTCTCTCTAAGTTATCACTTAGTGTTGCCACTAGAATAATACTTTAAGTGTCTTTAAGTTTAATACATAGTTAGGTTTAAGTAGGCATGTAAATCGGATCGAACTGGACTGGAACCGAAAAACCAAAAATCGAAAACCAAAACAAGCATAAACTAAGAACCGAATACCACTATTTGGTTCCAACCGATTCAGTTCCATTTTGGTTCTACTAAGAAATGTGATATCTAAGAAGGTATTCGGAACCAAAATCGAGCTGGAACTGAAAAAACCAAAAACCCAATAAGCTATAAACTAAGAACCAAAAACCGATTCGAATTCCACTATTCGGATTCAACCGGTTATGGTTCGGTTTTTCGGTTAAAAGCCCATCTGTAGGTTTAACACAGCCTTCATCTTAACCCCAGTTCCACATCTCACAACTTCCCTTTAGGGATGTCCATGGGGGTAAATGGGACGGGAGTTGCATCCCTCGCCACTGCCCTTGAAATTCACCCATTCCCCCGCCCCGTGCTGAATTCTATGATTAGCCTCGCTCTCGCCCCATTCTCCTGCCCTGGATTGATTTTGGGTTGCTGTTTTTTTGCTCTACAAAAAAAAAATCCTTTTTGGTCTAAAAGAAACTATTTTTTTGGATAAAAATAGTTATTTATAACAAAATTTTACATGTTAAAAACAAAAATGTGATGACATCTCAAAAACATTATACTAGAAACTTAAATACATATTTTTTTGCTAAATTTTAGCAACTAAAAATCATGTTATTATTTATTTTATTTATATAAATAATATATATATATATATATATATATATATATATATATATATATATATATAATCCTAACGAGGACCCCATGGGGGTTTCGTGATGGGATTGCCCAACCCCGCCCCTGCCTCTGAAGTTCAAATGAGGGTTAACCATGTCCCTACCCCCAACCTCAGTTTTTTAAAACAAATACTCCCCATACAGGATCGGGGGCCAACGGGAACGAGGTCCCACGAGACTTTTTGACATCTATACTTCCCTCGTTTGTAGTATACATTAAAGAAAGTTATCACACGGGTGGTTAGCTCACCATAGTTTTTCCTTTTTCCTTTATACCTCTCCTAATTGTTTTTTTTTTCAAACCTCGACACCTCTTGTTCAAGGATCACCCAAAAAAATGATTTTGATGTGTAAAAGAAATAGGTCGCATTCTTTTTCTCTCTTATTGCTCTCTAACTGGAAGAGGTGAGCAACTGTCTAAACCATCTAACAACAACTCTTACTGGTGGGCCGACATCTAAGAAGTTGACGGGATCCGAACAATCTTATGTCTTTTTTTTTTCAGTCTAAATATTTTTGAAACCGATATCTCGTTTCACACTAGTTCGGTCTCATTTTTTTTACTGGTCCTAAGACTAGAGGGAGTGATGTCACTCTTACCATTGTTTTCACTGCCACGTAAACCTTATGCCGGTTTTTACCACAAAAATATGGTTCTTTGTCATATACAATGAGTGGTGTCATATTTTTTTTTAAGAATTTACTCTAAATAAATACTATTAAATGAAAAGAAAAAGAAGTAAAAAAATAAAAAGCAAAATATAGAGGGTAAAGAAAAAAAAGTTAAATGGAGAAAAAGAAAATTAAATATCCGTATTTATTGGATATAGACGTTAAAAGGTTTTGTTTTTAATATAAACTAGTGTGTGAACCTGTGGTGAACCACGGGTTACGTTTAAGGTGGACGTTTGGTAGTAGTATAGAGCACCAGTGGGTATTGATGGCGATATTGAAATATTGAATTTGGACGAGAAATTGTGTGAAACATCAAACCAATTATTGAAGAGACATATTTCAAAATATAGATGGTGAATATATTTAAAGTTATATGGTTAAAGTTTAATAGTGATAAAGTTCAACGTTTTTAGTTGTTGGTTTTGATACATGACTATAGTTGAAGAAATAAGTTAGCCATGAAAATCTTTAAAACGGGAAATAAGTTTGTTTAGTAGGTGCATTCTTTAAAGGATTGAAAATCGAAGTAGGTCATAAAGGTATTGGTTTTACAATGTAGAATAGACTTGTATTTTAATACGACATGAACACACGACTATAATGATGAACATTAAACACTTTAAAACTACAAATTAAAAAGTAAAAGTCATTAGATATCATACTAATTCATAGATACAATAAATGATTACAACAACTGTCTGTATTTTTTTGTTTTAATATGATAGTTTCTATTGAATATTTACAAATTATTGTTTGTTAACATAATATGAGAGTTTTATTGAACATGGACGAAAAGCAAAATATATAAAGAGAGTATAGGTTAACTGTACGTACGGTGTGAAAAGATCACATAGTTTGAATATTGTTTGGCATGTGTTCCTTCTTCTATTTTTCTCTGGTTTTTGTATTTCTCTCGTTTGGTACGTAGTTTTTTTGGTGTATCTGTGAAATGTAAGATGTTGTTACGTGTAAACTGCTTTAAGTTGTTTTTACCTCTTTGTTCCATCTGAATGCATTTTTCGGTTTCACGTGATTTAGTAGGGGTGAGGGACTCCATAGTTGTTGAGGTTTGTTGTTCCATTGTTGTTGCAGGTGTTGTTTGTGTTTTTTTTTGTTGATATGATTGTTGGTTGCAGAGTCTTTATGTCAGTGATTGTGGTGACTGTGAAACGGATATTATTAGTGGATGAAAGTTTTGTGCATTCCACATAGACATTCTTTGTCAACCCTTTACAACGTTCGAGTGGTTCAGGCAAAGTTTTTATATCTTGACTAGGAAAGCGGTCAATGAGTTCTTGTGCACTTGCATTTACCAAAGTACGGGTTGCTTCGTTAGACATGAAAACTGTTGTGGTATTTGTATTGTCTACGAGTACTGCTGAGATTTTATATATGTGGAAAAAGAATGATGTGTGTGTGTTTTTTTATAAATACTTAAAGTTTACATGGGAGAGGGAGTACTTACAAAAGTTTTGGTTCATTTATGGGCCCATGGGAAACACAAAACCATCCATCACCTTTTTTGTGGGTTGATTTACCACATGTGGTACATGCTACGTGGTACCATACATCTTTAAATGTGAAATCAGATAGTATGGTCTTCAAAATGTATACTTTGTCCTTGAAGATGTGGTAGATGTATATTTGACTATTACGTTTGAAATAGTAGTATTTTACAAAAGAAAAGTACTTACCACTATTTGAGAGAAATCTGAGCTTTTTAAATGTTGTAATGTAGTATTTATCACAGCTGTTGTTGATTTTGAGTGAAATTGGGTACCAAATATGTATTTATGGAAACTTTATTAGTGACTATATAGACTATAGTTTGGTTAACTATGGTTGAGATTTGGTAGAAGCATTATAGGATACCTTGTAATGAGTTTGTCTGTTTCTGGTATTTTAGGATTGACGTACATGTGTGTTGCGTTGGTGCTTGTCAATGTTAATATTCATGTGTAGTTAAGATGGTGTTTTAGCTTAGTGCGAAGTGAGTAGTATAATAAGGGTCCGTTATTACTTACCATTTTACATAGTGGACTTGACATTAGTGAAAGCTAGTACAACCGTGTTAGAGTTTGATGTAAGGGCATTTCTATTGAATTTGTCTGGCGAATCTATGCATTTCTTCCATAAGAGTATGGTAATCTCCTCCGCACTTGAACCGGTGTTGTCATCAATATTTATTAAAGGAAATAAAGTAGGTAATACGTTTTGGTATGAAGAGATATGTACTTACTTTTCATCAATTAAAGTGATAACCATGAAAGGTTTTTTTTTTTTTTTTGGCGATCTTTCATGTCGATGAGTACGCCTATGAAATCTGAATGTAATTGTAAGTTTAATTTTAGTAAGAAATTTAGAACATTAGAAATCTTTGCATAGAAGTGATGATGTTTGGGTTGATGTTATAAATGTACCTGGATGCTCCAAGTTTTTTTCTGCTATAATTTGAAAGTGTGATCTTGGACTGAAGCGGAACCATGTTAGAGGAAGGGCATTGTGGTTTGGAATTTCCTCAATCGTTGATGCTTCACCAATATTCATGTGTACTAGGTGATTTAACACCTTTTGATATTTGTCTGGCTCAGTTCATGTATTGTCCTTAATACGATAACATCGAGAGACTATTATTGAAGTTTCTTTGCCTCCTTGATTTGTCTTTTGTGCTAGGAGTTGAATTGTATCTCCCTGCTCAAATATAATAGTGTGTGTATATATATATATATATATATATATATATATATATATATATATATATATATATTTCCTTACATGCTCATCAATCACGATAAACCATGTCTCGTGCTTTCTAAATTGCAATATCCATTTTCGCAAGACATGAATTTCAAGTGAAATTCCTAGTGAACCAAATTGAAGGTTTGATATTCTATCCATGGTTGAGGAGATTGCTCTGCAAACAAAAAAACATTGTTAATGTTTACATATTACATGGATTGTGTAGCATATATTTTAGGTATTAGATTATTATAATAAGTATAATTGCAAAATAGGCAGAAAAGATGTTAATGGGTGATAGAATTTTCTTAGTAATTAGATGAATTGAAAACATAAATGTGGTGTAATAACCTCTTGCATATTAACCCTTGCTAACAAATCATTGAAGACGACATTTCTAGTACAGTTGAATGGTAATGCTTCTTCTTGTTGTAGCAAAATCTTTATTGAATGTGGTGAGGTAGCTCTTGACAAAGCCACATATAGTTGTCCGTGTGTGAAAACAGAGCTTGTGAGGTATAAACCTACCTTTTTAAGAGATTGGCCTTGATTTTTGTTTATAGTCATTGCGTAACGTACTTTCAGAGGAAATTGTTTTCTGATAAATATGAAAGGTAGGTCAGAGGTATTATGTACAAATTTTATTCTTGGAATGTACACCCTTTTCCCAACAGATATTCCTGTTATTATGGAAGCTTCAATCATAGATGGTAATAATTGTGTGACAATCAAACGTGTTCCATTACAAAGACCTTCTCTTTGATTGATATTCCTTATTAGCATAACTAGGGTATTAACTTTCAAAATTAATGTATGTGAAGGAATACCAGAAAAGTGAAGGTTGTTTAGATAATCTTGGGGATAAAAGTTATCTAATTCTAAGCTATCATGGGTATGTGATTTAATAGAATCACAGCTATTGTATACCACCCCTTCACTATTAGTTTTTGATAGAATTAAAGCATTGACTTGGTCAGCTCTTTTATTTTTCGGACAAATAATGGCTCTAACAGATAACTCTTCAGGTGATGGATTGGAAATTAGATTTTTGCCATATACAATATGTATTAGTGATTCTAATCCTCTGTCTCTTGATTCGATAAGGAAACAATGAGGTATTTGTATAATGTTTTTGCTTTCTGGATCATTCTTGTCTGGTGTTCCGATATTTCCATTTCTAATATCGAGAAGCCATGAAGCAAATTGTGATATTCGATTAACATCCTTATTTGAATTAACCGGTTGGGATAAACGCATATTATGATGCAATTTGAATACCGTAAAATGTGACCATAGATAGGAATTAGGTAGAGTCATGCTAATTATCTGTGATTTTCTACTTTTAGGTTGAACAGGAAGAGTTTGTCAAAAGTCACCTCCTAGGAGCATTGACATCCCACCAAAAAGATGGTTATCATTCTCAAGGACATCTTTTAAGTGATTTATCTAGAAACTCAAAGCAATGACGATCACTCATTGGAGCTTCATCCTATATGATCATAGAAGTCTTCTTTAGGAGTTCTGCTAGCTGTGTTTTTTTTTAATATTACAGGAAGACTTGTTTGTAAAGTCAATTGGAATAACAAATCTAGAATGAGCAGTACGACCTAAAGGAAACAAAAGGGATGCAATGCCTGAGGTGGCAACAACCAGTACAATCTTTCCCCTAAATCTAAAATATGAAAGTATAGTCATCCGTAAAAAAGTTTTTCCTGTACCACCAGCTCCATATATAAATAATAGAAGTTGCTTTTTGTTGTGTTCTGCATCCATAACTCTTTCATAAATTGTAAGTTGATCCGGATTTAATTGTGATACCATGGATGAATTTTGAGAATTCAAGAGATTTGTATCATAATTAGTCTCTTCAAGAAGAAGACGATTTCCAATAAAGGAAAGAAGAGATGGAGATGGCATTGGCAATCCAAAGTCAGCAAGTGATTTGGAAGGTGTTGAAGCTAGTAGAGTTTTTTGAATTTCGAGAAGTATTTGTTGTTCTAGTGTATCAACATGTAGAATTACATTGGGATCTATAGAATTGGAAGTGAATGTATGGGCTATGTCATCGTCCATTTTAGGTTTTCCGGCTTCCCATTACAAAAGAGGGTTTCCTACTTCACAATACAAAAGTAGATGACAGAAGAGAGAACGAAGTTCAGATGAGGTTGCCCAAGATGATGCTTCTTCAAATGCTGTTAGCCACTCTTTATCGTTACCAGTTAAGCCTAATGCTTCACATGCATCACGAAAATTTGAGTATGTGTTTTCACGAACGGTTCTAATGTCATAGAATGAGTTACATCCTTTTTGATGGAACAGTCAAATTCCTAGATAAAATAACTCCCCAACAGTTGGATGTACATATGCAAGTTTGCCAATGGTAGTATTTATTGTGGTAGTCCTATGAATCCATCTCTTATCTTTGGTGTCCCAACTATATTTAGAAGGGTAATCATTGTATGTCAAGTCAATTCCACGAAAATCATGTTGATTATTGTGCAACCATTCTGTTAAAGTTGTAACACCAAAATTGGGGGTATTAATTAAAGAGCCTAATTGACTATTTTCTTTGAAAATAGTAGGTTTCATCCCCTCTAAATGTACAACCAAGACTTGTACAGGTGGATCTCGTTCATGAATGGGAAAATTGAGGATTCGCCATGCTGCTTCGTGTGGACATATATACCGACCATCAAGAAACGACTTGATTTCATTTACAACGACAGGTATGGTAGAGGAAGAAGCAGTAGTATTTGCCTCTGATGTTTGAATAGTGAAACGAACGCGATCAACCCCTTTTGAAATGTACTTAAATAAGTACTTAATCATCATATTCCATCCACAATATTCTACATTGATGTGAGCATCAAAGCGACTACACAAACGTTTATTGTACGACACTACAAAGCCGTTATCAGTTCTAATCCCACTTTGTAAGACATGATACGATCCAACACGTCTTGTATAATGCACGTAACCATTTTCATCAAAAGTTGTTAATGGATTGAACGGTTTAGGAAACCGTTGAACACATTTATCATCTACCATACATGGGGCACCAATATTCAGTGAACCACAAGGACCATGTAGTAATAGTCCTATATAGTGCTGGTTCAAGTGTAGGGTCATGAAGCTCTGCGGTAATGTATTTATCAATATCTGCACCTTCTTCAATTCTAATGAGTGATGTAACCCATAATAATGTATAACAATGTGGTAAACCCCTTTTTTGGAATTCAATGGTGTAAAGATCTGTGAATAAAAATATTTTATAAGATGTTATATAAGACATAAAAGGAATAGAAGGCTAAAAATAAGAAGAATGAAATTAGAGAACAAATACTTACATGCACTAACATCTCCAAAAGTTTTGTCATCTTTAAAGAAGTTAATGAAAGCACGAACTTTGATTTTAAAGATGCGTGCAAAGATATCTGGTCTGTTTTGAATATCTCGTTGACCAATAGCATCCATGTATCTTCTATACTCAGGCCATTTAACATTGCATGTGAAAGTGACGAAATATTGTGGCTTACCATGAACCTTGCAAATGGCAAGAGCATCCTGATAGTGTTTATACATATACCTAGGTCCCCCAACGAAAGTTGCAGGTAGAAATACACGTTTTCCAATGACACGACTATCTGTATCACCTTTGGACAAAGCGTCGTAAACACCGTTGATGTACTCTATACGTAATTGTTGCTGATGTTGTTCAATAAAGTCAAGCCTAGATTGTTCAATGCAAGTATAGGCATCCACTAAATACTAGTGGAAAAGCCGACGTGAACGTAAAAATAAGAGAATAAGTGTGTCGGTCATGAATTTGATAACTGTAATACATATTATTTGTTAAACTTCTGTTAGAGTTAATACGTAGATGCAAGGTAGGAGACCATCCTTCTTCACCGTATGGGAATAGTAATGGATATTGCAAAGGCATGTAAGTAGGATGAAGTTTACTGACACGACGAGGTGACCCAGATTTTGAATAGACAACAATGTCATAGACAGCCCCAGTAATGTCATCACCACAAACAATACAACCTAAACTTCCAAGGGCCGGTGGCCCATATCTTCTGTCAGGTACAACATTAAATAAACGTACACCATATGAATCTAAATTCATCGACCGAGCTATTTCTTTCGTTGTCTTAAATGTATGAACATACTCAGTATGTGTATGTAACATATGACTTAAGGAATCTACAACATTTTCAGATAAAAGTACTTCCCCCACACCATGAAACGAATGAAGTCTATTATCAACCTCATTTTCAGTATCACAAATGTACAATTGGAGAAAACGGGGTTGATGAATGTCTTGAGGATAAAAAGATCCTATCCAGTGGTATATCTGACCACTAACCTTAAACACATATGGTGCACGACCTTTGTTGATTGAGTCGTCTTCGTTTGCACCAAAAGACGTCATAGAGAACATGGAATTATACGCTCTTATGTTATGCATGAAGTGATCGTCTTCGTAGAATTTCATAAGCACATTAGGCGGACGAAGAGGGTAAGGAAGAACTACATTACCCGACTTACAACATTTTGTATATCGTGGATGATTGGCTCGGGATAAAAACAATACTCTCTCATGATACCAAAAAAAACTCCACAATACTCACATATGCAGGTACAATTCCCACAGTCATAATAAAAGGCAATGTTGGTATCTCTTCCAAAAGTGAACTCCTGCGTGATCGACGTGAACGACAGGGTACTATCGTATTGGAAGTAGAAGCCATATGTCGTCGTTTTGGAGCCATTTGAAGAAAGCATTTACTGAAATGGAAATCCAAAAGTTATCGACCTTTAACATACTTTATATGAATTTAAATTGGAAAATTAGACTTTAAATAAGTATTTTGAAACAAATTTTTTTGATTAGTAACTTATTATTTGAGTAGTTTTAACACATTTGAGAAGAGATTAATAGGTTTGTTTAGATTGTATTAGATGATGGAATCTTTTGTAAAGATACAGGGTAGAGTTGAATTTTAAAAGGCCATATACTAAAATTTTAAAATTTTATATTAACACTAATCTAGTAGTTTGCAAAGTTTCATGTATTTTATTTAGAAGTTTAATTACAAGTGCATACTATATAAATTCACGATGTGAATAATTGACCTAATTATATAACCATATAAAGAGCAAAGTAACATCTATTTTGAGTAAAAAGTACGGGTCGATATTGTTATTGAGATATAGAGACGAAAGTTTGCATTATAACTCCTCAAGTGTTAGCAGTTATCATAATAGTGATAATTTAATGCACTTACCGTTTATAAACGATTCTAAAAAATCCATAATTATAGGACTGTGGTTGACCATTGGTTCAACACTACTTGTTTTTTAACTAGATTCACTACTATATAACTATTTAGCTTTAAAAATTACAGTTAAGTGCATGATGTCGTTATGTGAAAATGCAATATAAAATCATAAGATATATTGGTTAGGGTTTTTACAGCTTTTGTTAGGTAAAAATTCAACTAAAAAAAGAAATAATAATGGTCAGTGGAATTTTTGTCAACACATAAAATGCATGCTAAAATCGGTCTAAATTTTAAAAATACATTAATATAACTTGAATATTAGAGGCATGTAGTATGATCTTAGAAATTATTAGTAGATTGAATGAAGTGGGAAGGATAGGATCAACAAAATTGCAATATATCTAAATCTTTCCATAGTACAACTACTTTTTTTATTGAATGTAATGAGAAACTACCTTTTACTATATTTTTTTATTTATATATATTTATTGTATGTTTATGAGGTAGATAGTTTTATAAGGTTTTGAAAACTTTGTGATAGAAAAACTATTACGTATATTTTGCATCTAGCATTATTAAATACGGTTAAAGGCATTATTGAAAATATAATATTATTTCTTTTTTCAAAATAAACTACTTGTAAACCCATTTTACCTTCAACTCATTATTTGTTTACATTGAATTTCATTTTTAAATATTAATTATTTTTGTTTCGTCTTGTAATAGGTTATTTTTTTAGGATCAATAACAAATCAACAGAAGCTTTCTGATTAACAAAAGCCAGGTTTCTCACCAATGATGCAATAGTGAAAGATACATATAACCTTGGTGATACTTCAATGCTTGACAATTTGAACTCTTATAAACTTCCAATTGGTGTAAAACTATCAAGAGACATGAAAGATTGTCCCAAGGGCACAAGGGTATATACCACTCATTCCCAAGGGGGTTTTATGTAGTTTTACAGATTTGGTCGTTAAATAGTTCTTGGGTTTCCATGTCAATTTCTTACAAATTGGTCCTGTGTCAAGAATCTATTTAATTTTCGCTCGTTTTTTTTATCATATAATTAGTTGTAAATTCTTAAATTTATATTTTTGTTTTAGTTTGAAATTATATTATTCCATTTAGTTTGAAAAATATATAAGTATAATTATGTTTTGGTATAGGAATTTTGAATCATTGCAAGTAATAGCAATTGGTTCTAGTTTTAGACAAAACATGGTAAAAGTCCAAACCTATGGACTATTTTTGTAAATAAGTATTGAGAATTTGTGTTTCAGAATATTGACTCCAGTATACAGTATCTTGAAATTGGATACCAATTTTGTCATTTTTTAATTAAAATGCCAATCTATTTAGTTTTTTTATTAGTATAATGCTATCATAAGTTTAGTTTTGCTATAAGTTGTAAAGTTTTGAATTTTAATCTTTTTATTGTCAAAACTTTTTGTGTTAGGAAATTGAAATTTATATTTTATTATATGGATTACAGATTTGCCGAGGCTTAATCCGGTGTCAAAGGAGAAGGGTGATCTGGTGGTTGCTGCATCATTTTTATTTTGAATTTTTAAGTTTTCATTTTTGGTCTTGTTACGAGGGGGGAAATGAACTTGAATGTTAAAACTTATAGAAACACTTTTGTGAAACAAGTGGTATTTTGGTGCAGCTTATTGGAAATATGTCATCATGTTTTTTTTGTTTTGCTTTAAAACACTTTGGTTTGGTGATGAATGCTTAAAAGCTCTGTTTTAAAGTTAATATAATACAACTCAACGTATAAGTATAATCAGTAACCTTTGTGCCTAAAATGTGCACTCTATATCTTTCTATATTACAGCAACATAGTTTCATACCAATAACTAATGGTTTTTTTCTAAAAAGATGGCATAGTCATCAAAATTACATAAAATTTGAATTTTTTTTAAGGATTTCAATTTAGTACAACAAGGGAGATTGACTTATGACATTAGACTGATCCTATATAAACGTACCGTTGGATAATTGCAAATCTATGACAAAAAAAGTTCGAGGGGTATTTTAGGAATTTTTTATTTGTATTGTTGACAGGAGGCAGAGCTTTGGATGAAAAAATTACACTTATATTTCAAGGATTTGAAGAATGTATGGAAATAGAGAACCTGGAAAGTTTTTCTGTGATTTAGTTGAAAAAACAGTTCCAGGGGCATTTTGGAAGAAATTTAGATATATAGGGCTTATGCATCCTTCACAAAATGTAAGACCCATAAAATTAACATGAGGGTTTCAACTCAAAGTATAAGTAGAATAAGTCACCTTTGTGCCTAAAATGTGCACTCTATTTCTTTCCATATTACAGCAACATAGTTTCATACCAATAACTAATGGTTTTTTTTCTAAAAAAAGGCATAGTCATCAAAATTATATAAGATTTGAATTTTTTTAAGGATTTCAATTTAGTACCATAAAGGAATGTATCGTTGGATAATTCCGAATATGGGACAAAAAGAGTTCCAGGAGTATTTTAGGAAGTTTTTTATTTGTATTCTTGAAAGGAGGCAGAGATTTGGATGAAAAAAATTACAATTGATATTTCAAGGATTTGAAGAATTTTTGCATGAAAATAGAGAACCTGGAAAGTTTTTCTGTGATTTAGTTGAAAAACAGTTCCACGGGCATTTTGGGAGAAATTTAGATATATAGGGCTTATGCATCCTTCACAAAATGTAAGGCTCATACAATTAATAGGAAAGTTTCACACCTGGATCTAGTTTCTTTCTGTTTAATACTTGAGATATTTTCATTCTTTATGTGAGAATCATATGACATTTTCCTGTTGGTAACAATATTCTTCTAATGGTCACAAGAACACTAAAATTCTGGACTCTGAAATCTGAATGACGAACAAATACATTAGTATTGGAATTACCATTATGTTCATGTTAAAGTATTTTTGTTGCTACTACAAATCGATATGATAATAATAATTTGCCATGATTAAAAGTGGACAAAAAACTAAAAGAAGAGCAATATAGAAAATCCATATCGATTACAAACAATATATGACATACCGTAATTCCAATCAACAACAGAGAACAGGAGCGATTGGTGGCGACAATTGAGTGCAGAGGTCGTTGGCGACAAAAATCGAACAAATCAAAATCCTGATTTCTTGGGTGGCAAATCGTCGATCCTCAAACCCGAAACGTTTGAGACATCACTCAAAAAGACGATAGGATAAGAAAGAAGTGTAATTGAATGAAAATCATAATAAAATTGAAACAGACAACAACTTATCGAAATATCTTACACCACATGGTACAGGCGGTGGAGACGGTGTTGGAGAAGATGATGTAATTTAGTGGTGGCGGACGAAACGTGCCTGAAATACGTCAACGAATTCTTTGAGTTGTCGGCACTCTTATGAAATCAAAACAATGTATGGGTTGCAGGAACGAAAACGGATTCTATGAGTTGTCGGGACTCTTATGGAATCAAAACGATGTAGGGGTTGCAGGAACGTCATGTTTGTAGGGAAAACAGGGACCAAATCTTTAATATTAACGAAATGATGTGGTTGAAATCTAAATTGCATAAAAGATACTGTTCGTAAACACGATGCCTTTTAATATATAAGTAGAGTAAATTACGCGAATGGTCCCTATGGTTTGGGGTAATTTGCACGTTTGGTCCCTTACTTGCTTTTTTAACTCGGAAGGTCCTTACTGTTTGTTTTTGTTACGTGTTTGGTCCCTTCTATTTGTTTTTGTTACGCCTTTGGTCCCTGTCTTACCTAAAAAGACTATTATTTGATTAGGGAAAGATGATGGGATAGGTATGGTAAGGTGAGTGGAGTGAGGTTGGGAGTGTGTTTATTTAAATAAATTAAAAAAATCAAGGGCAAAATAGTATTTTTAGGTAAGATAGGGACCAAGCGTGTAACAAAAACAAACAGTATGGACCTTCCGAGTTAAAAATATAAGTTAGGAACCAAACGTGCAAATTACCCTAAACCATAGGGACCATTCGTGTAATTTACTCATATAAGTATAATTATTAGATTTCTAAAGAAAAATAAATAGGAAAAAAAATAAAAATTTGAGAAAAAAGAAGAAAGAGGGAGAATATAGAGAGAAAGAGAGACCGCTCAAGAGCAATGTTTTAAAACCCGGATTTTTAGTTGATCCGGTGTGATGACCGGTTCACGGGTCAACCGGTTCAACCATCGGATCAATCCGGTTTATGGTATTTTTCTATTTTTATATATTTTTACTTTCCTGCATAGTATATAAGCATATAAAACCAATAATTTGATGTCCACAAAGTTTAAACATTGAAAAACACTGGAGAAATCACAAACGACTTATTGTTTTGGCGTTCGTTACTTGTATCCAACTATCCAAACCCTATTAAAATGGGACAATCCGGTTTAAACCGGTTCGACATAAGCAGTCGAACCTCGGTTTAGGGGAAATCCGTCCGGTTCGATCCGGTCCGTATTTTTACAAAAAACCGCTCTCA